GATTTTTGGCCTATTGTCAATAAAATAAGTTGTAATTTTCACTAAAAATGATGATTTCTGCGAAAAATAAAGCTTTCAATTCTTCAAAATAAACTTTTTATTCCCCCGAAAATAACAAGTTCTCGGCGCTCCTGACCGGGAAGCGCAGAGAGTGTGAGTTCGAATCCCGACTTTGAAAAGTTGGACGTTCTTTTTTTTTCCCCTAAATATTCAAAATTGTCCAATTGACGTGCACGCAATGGGAAGGAAAGATTTTTGGCCTATTATCAATAAAAGAAGTTGTAATTTTCATAGAAAATTATTATTTCTGCGAAAAATAAAGCTTTCAATTCTTCAAAATAAGTTTTTTATTCCCCCGAAAATAATAAGTTCGTGGCGGTCCTGTGACCAACGCTCCTGACCTGGAATAATATAATAAACGTTCAAATAAAATAACATAGATTATTGAGCGAATGATGGCGCTCTCTTAGTTGGAATCAATTTTCCAAATTACGTCTTCCCACTGTGGGTGGCTCTTCGTAGAATTTGTTAATAGTATTTTTGTCTGCTTTCTAGATATTTGAGTCTTAGCCATATTTACACAACCCCTTAATTTCTTGGACGACAGAAAGTCCTTTCTTCAAAAGAAATTTCAGGGGTACTTTTTAAGAGACTATGCCCGGTGAAGAATTTGCCTTGTACCTGTTATAGGACAGGTATCTTTTCCCCGCTTGAGGGCGTTCGTGAACATTTCGCACAAGCCATGCAAGCTGCAACTCAAAGGTACATGTATAATATGTAGGCCCCATCCCGCAATTTTCCGAGCTTTCATGACTACAGTTTACCGTAAAAAGCTATCACAGCTGTTGATATTTGCTGCGATCTCTTTTAGGGTTAGCTAAAGAGAGGTTCCTCCATAATGGTCATCGTTTAGCCTTTAGACCTAGGGCTGTAGTCATGATTGGTAATGCCTTGATGATACATGTAGGCCTACTCCAGTACTCGTATTGGTAGCCCCACAAATACATGTACTTGTAGGCCCAGGGCTCAGTTAGTGGCTCTCTTACAATCTGTCTCTTAATCTGTCGCCACCACAGCCCTACTTCAAGGCATGCCTGAAATCCAAACTGCAGGATTGTCACAAACTTTGAATCCTAATATCTTCCAAAATGATAATGACTCAACCATATTTCTTACACTGGCGTATTCCTCAGAGTTTGGACGTTTATATGAGCACCCTAAAGCTTTCCAAAACTGTATATTTTCCAATGTATGGCACCTTGAAAAAAACCTGCCTGTGGTATTACATGCTGACCCCGGGCGATGCCATTTTGACATGTTTGGAAAATGAAAGCAGCACTTCTTGTGTTGGATTCCAAGGCACCCAACAGGCGCCATACAAAACTCGTCATGCTTGTTCCCCGTCATACCTTGTGTGACAGACGAACAAGGAACCGGTGAAATTAAATATGAATAACATTAATATGCATGTAACTGTATCATGCTCCACACACATGCTGTGGGCGGACTGTCCACTAGCAAAGTGCACGCCAACTTATTACTAAGCAGTACTGTGACAACATGAATTATGCATCGACGGCACCTTTCGGGTGCCCTGACTTCCGACGAATGAAGGGCTGCCTTCGTTTTTTTAAATGGCACCGCCCGTCTGCCCGTAGTCAGCATTATCTGGCCGTAGTAGACTCAGCCAATGACTGTCGCCAATGCACGCCAAAGCCTTGCCCCCTGCCCGATGTTGTGTGTACTTGGCATGGAGATCAATGGTACTCGTGGCTGAGAACCACTGTGCCGTTGTGCGATGCGGTGAGCATTTGCGAAACCTGTGGATTCGTTTGGACTTCAGTTTCACTGGTTCCAGTCAGAACATGTAGTTTCGGTGTGCATGTACGCGGCTCAGAATCTCGTACGCCGAGTAGTTGCGCGCGCACACTGTACGAACTGCACTGGAGAACGGCTGAAAACAGTCCACAACAATGGCAAGAAATAACGTTACGTCCTCTGGTGCAAATACTTTGGCGTAAAACTTTATATGAATTCAGCTCCATTTGATTTGCACAGGTAGCCAACAAAATGTTCACATTATGCCCTGTTATCCCCAAATAATCATTTTTGTAAATCTGAAGGTGCTAATTTGTATTTTACATGATCAAAGTCACTCTTTTAGAAGCTTTGAAAAATGACATGCGGAGTTGCATTTTGGTCCATTTTATGAAGAACATACCATATGGTAGGGTTACCTTTCACCTTCCTCTCTGTAGTCACATTCAATTTGTTGCTTAAAATCTTTGCTTTGCAGAACAAATACTTTTTGAAAGTGCCTAAAAATACAAAAGGAATAGAGAAACATGTTCTTTCAACTGTTTCAAGATGCATTTTTTAGGAGCCATGAATACGGCCACATACATGCACATGGTTTGTTAACCTTTTGACGATGGGAATTTCTTCCCCGAAGTCGACTCCAAGAATTCCAGCCTTGCTTGGCCACGAAGGCCACCTGCCAAACTGCAAATTCTCGGTTTTTGGCCCTGCATGCTCTGCGCGCTTTGAATTATGCCGTGAAAAGGCTGATTGTTTCGTGGCATGCGGCTCTACTCACCCTTCCACATTCTCGTTGACTATTGTGAAGCTGGTGATTATGATGCAAAATCAATCTTTTCATTTCTGGGCTACACACAAAGACCAATTGCCATATACATGTATACAAGAGCCAGGGTCTGCCTTCTTTCACCGTGTTTGCTCGAGCATGGGCTGAGAATAATAGATGAAAAGCGGGCTGAGGATCTCAATTTTTACAGTGGCTATAGCCGCCTCCAGGCACGAAGGGGTGAACACCTTGATATGTGCTCTTGTTTTTCTTCTTTTTTTTTGCATTGGAAAACTCATGACATCAAAAACTACCCCATAAAAATAATCATTGAAATTGGCATAACCTGTCAATATACTGGTAAGAAGCTTCCAAATAATTTCAGCAGGTCGCATTTGTATTCATCATGTTATAAGCTCTCTAAAATCTTTTAAAAACACAGCGTCAAACTCCCCACATGTACCTGTGAGGCTAACCTACATTTAGCATAGATGTACTTGTAGACAAGCCCTCATCTGAGGCTGTCATGGTTGATACAGTAATGCACAACAGTGGTAGCCTTGTTGCAATTTTGTGATTGGATACTTATTAATGTTTATTTATCAGTGTTTTCTCCAGTACAAGCTAGCAAAGCGCGCAACCTTCTCTCGTGTTCGCACTACAGAGTGCACAGAGCCCAAGCATGCACACATGTTTAATTGACTCACAAATTGACAATGACTGAAGTCACGGTGTACATGTATGCAGGAATCAAAAGTCATACACAAAAGCCCTCTCCACCATGAAAAAATGACCCATGAATGGACAACATTTTAAATAACCAATGACAAAGTGAACACCTGGTTTTTCAAAATGATGTGCACGAGTGGTTTCTGTATAGGGATGCCATCCTTACTGACTATGCATACACATTATTGAAAAGTATTGAATGTGACTTCTTTATTTTATCTTGTGACATTGATTTCTGCTTAAAACTTACGGCTCATTCTGTTACATCTGTAACTTTTGATTCAGTAACCAAGTTGCTGTGCATGTCAATTTCTTCTTTGTTATAAAGATAATCATTTGCTTTTGGACATGTGATTAGTAAGGGGTATTGCAGCATACCTGTGTAAAAAAAATGTTTATTTCTATGGAGTGAATTTTTATGTGTGGCCTTTGACAGAAGTGGCAAGTTTCTTTTGCTGTCCAGTTAATTTTTTAAAGAGTTAGCCTGAAATATTTCCAAATCTACATGTACATGTCTACAAATCTACAATTCAAGATTTGCATTATCAGTGATTATTGCTCAGCACAGTTGGTCAATTCTTTAAGAGTTACTGTATTGCATTTCCTCAGTAGTGGTCTACTTAAAGAACTCAGTGAACTCAGTGATTTGGAATTCTCCCAGTAACAGTGGACAGGCATGCATATTTATTAAAACATGAACAACCGATGGCAGTTAATTGTCCAATTGAAAATGGCAACGAGGTAACCACTATTGCACAGTGATACAATGGAGTCCTCCATGGATCATGTGCATGTACATGTATCAAAGCCCTGCCCTCCCGCAAAATTAATCATAAATGGAATTGAATTACATATATATTTGGGAAATGTTACATAATTGACACATTGGGGTAACCATTATGACCATGCATATCATTAAACAAGGACATGGGAACTTGTACAACATTTTCAGCTGAATATCAGAAAATGAATCTTTGCTCCAAGGATTCATTCAAGTTCCCCTACTATGACATGAGCTGGGCTTTCCAAGCTATTATTCAGGATCTAAAAATCAACCTGTTCCCTGAGTTTCTGTGTAGTGTGGACCATGTATGGAAATAATAATCTGAAACATACCGGTATGCATGTTCTTATTCCATTGATATTTTCCCATTTTTCAGTGAAAGTTGAAATGTGTAGAACATGTACATGTATCTACAAAATCTGTTTAATTTTGTAACCTCTAACTTTTCTAGCCTGTAACTTTTCAATTGATCATCATCCAGTCTATATGCATTGAAATTGAGGTCCTTAACCCCATTCAGGACACAGTTTCCAGGGTAAAATTTATCAATTCTGTGCATATACCTTCCAGCCATTTTTCCATGTTTTGTGTAAAAGGGTAATTTTGTTTTTATGGTAAATAAATAGTTCATGATGTTGATCTAATCTTGCAGAATCTGTACGGGGTACCAGATAGTCACACAAGATGAGCACAGAAAGTGGGGCGGATCCACTGGGCGCACAGCCAGATGCCAGCAAAGCCCAGCCAACTGTCACTGCCAAACAGCCCAGTACCAGCCTCAGTACAACGCCAGTCCCCACCTCAGCCAAGTACGCCACCGGTCCCGGTGACCTGCCCAGCGAGCTGATGTGCCGTCCCCTGGGATTGGTAGTCCTGACTGGCCTGAACACTACATATAATGCAGTGCACCGGGCAATCTGGGATTCCTTTAGTGCCAACCGGAGGCCGGACAGGGTGCCTCTGTACTTCAAGGCGTGGCCAGCTGATCACGAATATCCAAAATGCAGATCAAAGGTCTGTTGTCCATAGAAAGCAAAAATCTTTGATTTTGTTTACAAGTCACGCCTGTAATTGGCTGACTTGCATAGATTTAGAATAGCCTTTCCTTCAGCAGAATACTCCCGGTATTTTGAACTTTTTTTACCACTGCATGCTTTCTTTCATGTTTATGATCCACTTGGGTTTAATCCTGTTCTCCATGAGCGTTGCTAGGAGTGCTGACTAATTACTAGCTTGTGTGTAACGACTTCACACCAAATGACCTGTACAGTACAGATTGCTGGCCGACACACAAACACGCTTAGCGTGTCAGCGTGTATTGAGTCCAACTGACACGAAAGGAGTTAACTGCAAACATGAAACATACTGACCCCTGCATAGCAGAGAGCGCTTTCGTTGGTAATCTGCATCCCTAAAACGTTGTGTACTGCAGCATAGGAAGTTGAATATTCATGCAATCGTTGGTGCTTGATATGATCCGACAACAACATCAAATTTAGTGCTTGCGTGGTTGCTTTTACTAGGCTGTGTGCCCGAAGTGTTCATGTGCAGTTGTTGCCCTTATCGAACGCATTCTTCGGGACTTATTTTTGGAATAAATAGCCAAGCTGTTTGTAGGATTTTTGTTTTGTTTGAATCATTTTTATTATGGCATTTGTACAAAGGCGTATTTTATGAGATTTCATGATCACTCCCTGTGATGAAATAGCGCATTTTGTTCCTAATGAACTAGGCTTTTCAGAAGTAGTGAAGATTTTGATGGCCAGTCTTAGCCAAATTCGTACCTAGTCTTTGAACACTGATGTATTGGACGGAGGAGACTAGAATTACAAACTTTGCATGGATAATGAAACTGTGTGTCAAAATATAAAAAGTTTATTTATGATGGCAAAAGTAGGTCTAATATCAGGAATTTTTCTCTCTCTATTTCCTGGTCACATCGATAGTTTGTATTTAATTGCAAGCAAAAATTAAAAGTATTGCCAGGATATTACTGGCCCCGCTTGTCTGGCTAAGATGCAGGCAGCAATAAGGCATTTTTGGAATGTTTTCTATTATTCGTCAGACTCGGCGGCGACCATCATTGGACGCTTTGAAGTACCTGAGTTACAACTCCTTCTGTGTCCTTCCTCCATGATTGGACTAGCAATGCACATTGAAAACCACAAAGCATGTATTGAACAGCATGTCAGGTTCACTGATTGTGTTAGCGTGTCGGCTAAAATTCTGACCTGTACTATAAACACTGAGGGATTTCCTACTTGTATGTGGTATTGGAGGACGTGCTGAAACACGATAATTACAATATTCATCCCCATTTTTGATTGGTTCCCATTGAGTTTGTACACACACAAAGACCCACACACAGACTCACCCAAGCCCGTGGAAGTTGAATTTGGGTGGATCCTTCAAGTGGCAGTTGGCCATAAAAGGGATTACAATGTACCTTAGTGAATCTTGCCCTCTGACATTTTCTTGGAGTTTTAAAAAAGCTTTGATGTGTTAAGAAATGTGATAAAAACTTTTGGGACAAATTACCATCAATGATCAGCAGTTGTTTAGTCCAACTCTGTGAAGGACTGTGGTTGTGGTATCTTTTTCTTTAAACAAGTGAACATTTTCAGCTGAAAAATACCAAGTCCGGGACAAGTTCTTTTGGAATAACACAATCGCCAAGTGCTTAAGGAACACACTCCTTTTTCTTTAAATCACAACTTGATTGTCATGTTACTTCCCAGCAACGGACGTCCTATGAGTGGTACATTCCCAAGGGCATCATCAAAAGCAGTTGGATGAAGAAGCATCTCCAGGAAGTCCCCGCCTTGGTCGTCGTCTTCTTCGACTTGGACTGGGACGAAAACATGTGGAAGGAGAGGCAGATGGAATGTGCCACAAGGGTTGAAGTTGTCAGGTAAGGTTGACTGTTGCTATTGCAGGAATGATGGCACCATGTGACTACTAAGCTAACCCCCTCCCTTTTGTTAGCTACAGTGGACAGCGCACTGTCATTGGGAGAGTAACCTGACAGAACACAGTGCATGCACTTTTTTCTCTATTTTATTATGTGACCATGGTGTAATAAATTCAACATCACTTGGAGTGACTGTGATTCAAAGTCCTTGTCTCCCAATTTATCTGTAGTCTTCTGCGTGTGTTTACCTCTGTGCCCATCAAACCAAAAATCGGATGTTTTAAAGTTGTCCAATTAGACGTGATAAGAAATTCAGATTTTGTAGATTTGCTACCCCACAAGTCTCCCTCTTTTCTGCTTGTTTATTTTCTATCGAAACTGACAATTATTCTTTGTTTCAGGACCAGTCTTCATGGCAGAGGTACCCGTGTTGCTGTTGTCCTCATCCAGAAAAATGCACCCTTGCCACCAGGTAAGTGCTCACTGTCAAACACTACAAAGAATCTTCAGAGTTTGGATGTGCGAAACCTGTTCAGCAAAAACAAACTCTTCTTAATGTTCAGTTGAGAATCTACAATATAGAAAATAGAAATTGTTTCTTTACATTCGCAGACAAATTAACCACATCCCGCTGAGGGCATTTATGAATATTGATGACGCTGGGATGGGATAATTTTCATTTTTTTCTGTTTTCAAAATTCTTTAAAAATTCATGTCTTCATTTACTGGACACTTACACCCACACAGAGGACTGTCTGGTTTCTACTCTAATCTGACAAACAACATCTGTTGATGCTGGAGTATTTCAGCCAAGCCTGCCGCCTTGTAAAAAGAGCCCAGATTGTGGGGTGTTACGTAATTTTCTTTTGTTCACGAAACTGGCACAGTGCGCTGCTGACCTCTTTCAGTAGGGGCCAGATTAGCGTGCAGCGGCTCTTGGCTGTGGTGGTGGAGCGCTTTTGTCCCCAGTGGTAATCACACTGAATGCCCCAAACTGTGGTATACTGTTTCAAAACAAGGCTGGATTATCTCCACTATGGAGAGTGAAAAAATGTTGGTAATTCCCAGCAGCCTGATCTTTTGTTATGAATATGGTCTTTTGTTACAGGGCCCAGTTCCCTTTGTCCGATTTCAGGGACCACGGCCACGCGTCTAATTAATACATGTCCGAAACTGGAATCCCCGGCAGCAAGTGGTTGAGCACATTGCACTCTGCGGAATACATTTCAAGATAAATTGATGGCCATTAAGGGAGCGTCTCAAAAATTGGGAATGTTCCCGTTCCATTGGACCATTCCACTGGACGCGTGCTCCCAGTGGAACAGTCCCGCTGTTACATTCACAACCGGGAAGATATATTTCTGGCATTCATTTTCTAGAATTTGTGTCTGAAGCATGGCAGCTGGAGTGCAGCATTTTGTGATTTACTCTTGATGAAGGTTACCTTTCCTCCCCTTTTTCCTTTCCACATTCACCATGACAAAGCTTACCATGCAATGAGTATAGAGTATATCCTGACACCGTTAATTTTATTGTGTTAATGTTAACGTCTGTACTCGCGAGTGTTTTATTTATCGTTGGCTTGCGTGGTAGAGGGATTTGTCATCGCAATTTTTTCACACATAAGTATTCTGTCATATCAGAAACAATTTGGAAACCTAACTTGTAATTGAAGAGGTGTCGGTTGAGGTCTTCGAAAATCTCAAAAAAGGTTGAACGACAAGGAGGGCGCTTCAGAATGAGCTGACACACTGAAGTCGGTGCTCCAGAAAATCAACTATAAAATGCAACAAAGCTCTTTCACCTCAATCAGCAACTGATATTGTTATTAAGTTAAATTTTGCCACATTGTTTCTGACGAGCTGAAGTTCAAACTATGAAAAATAACCCCCAAAAAGGATAAAAAAAGGATCTGCACCAACAGAGCCGTCAGCCGTGCCAAACCTGTCAGATGGCTAGCCCTTATCAGCTGATGCATCAACGGACAATGGGTTAGCAAGCCTGTGGCGGGAAATCTATACAATGGCGGCAGATCTACACGGCAAACTGGACAACGTGATTCTAAATCAAGAATCAATCCTAATGAGGATCCAGTGTCTGGAAAAAAGTCACAGAGATGGAGGAGGCAATCAGTTTTTCCTCTAAGGCCATCAAGGAAATCCAAGCCAAGAACAGAATTCTCTCAGATGGCATTTCCGACCTAATGGCTTGGTTAGATACATCAAAAAGCAAAATGAAACAGGTTGAGGAAGCCACCCTTTACCTAGAACGACGCACCCGAATCTTCAACTTGAGATTTTGGGGGAATTCCAAAAAATCCAACAGAGCCTACCACCTTCCCGTACAACACAGTCAAGAAAATCCTGACTGAGAGGTTCAGTATACCCGAGACAGAAATCGAGGTGGCTCATCGCAATGGTCGGTGCCCGAAATCAACATCGGCAAAGCCCTCAAACATCATCACCAGATTTCTCTAGCGGTCCGAGCATCAGGCCGTTCTGATTGGAATGAAATGCAAGCTTACAAGCACGGGAATATTCGTTCTGCAAGATCTGCCAGCTGCTAATGTTGCTAAAAATAGATCCCTCCAAGACATCCCTCCAATGAAGCACAAAGCCGGTCAGCATGCTGTGTTCTGGAATGACCAGCTCTACATTCAACGCACAAAGCATATCGGCTCGACTTCCCAATAAAATAGAGTTTTAGCATTCTGTGCTTCGTAATTTATCCTAAATTAATGTCCTATGATATGAATTACTGATTTTCTGGCCACTCTCATTCAGTTTCTACATTATTCATGTATTACCCAAGTTGATTCTTTTTCAACATTGTTTTGTGAAATTCTTTTGCTTTTCTCAGCTCAATGTGTATACATGTACCTACATGTATCTGTTGATTTGTTTACAATCACCACAGCTACATAAATTAACTTTCCCCATGTATTGGTACCTAAAGTCCACATCTGGCTTAACCGATTTACCCTTAAAGAAGACTAGATGCCTATTGTTACCACTCATCGTTGCAGTGCATGTGCTGCTAGGCTAGCCCCAGAAATCTTGCAAAAATTTTCATGCATCACTAGCCTATTACAGCTGTGATGGTGCATGTAGCTGGTCAATGTAACACATGCAGTAAATCAGTGAACAAGTCTGATTTACATGTAAACGATCACTTTGGAACATGTAAGGAAGGCTTTTCTTATATATTACCCTTGAATCATCTTCTACCTCAGGAATTTGATTTAGCAGTTTATGAGTTTAAAAGTGATACTACCATTCCTTTTGTAATGCACGGTTGCTGGAAGTAACAATCTCAATCTAGACATGAGTCATTATATTACTAACCATGTGACTTTGGATTACCTCTTGCCCAACCAATTTGTTGAAAAGTACCGATTGACCAGTTGTCAAAACACAGTTTCATTTTTTCATCAAAATGTTTGAAGTCTTACCAAAATTTTGATCAAATATCGGACTTCATAAATACTCTGAACTTTCAGTTCCAAGTACTCTGGATTTGAATATAAAGGAGTATTCATGCATTAAGAAAAATAG